ACTTCAGGCCCTTTAACCACAACTGGAGCATCCCGTAACAGAAACCTTTTTAAGTAACAGAACCAATACCAGGAGTGCCTTGAAGAAACCCCAATCACCTGATGGGGCCACCACTCCTATTGTGAGACTAACCACCTCATATACACTGCTGCCAACAAATACCTGCCTGAATTCCTTGAGGGTTCCCACTCTTGCAAAACCTGCAAAGACAGTGGGTCTYTATGACTCTGATAMAATATTGTGACCAAACTCACTAATCACAACCAAAAAAGCTATSCTACCCAGCTAGAAATAACTCAACATTACACAACAAACCAATATCCCAGGTAACATCTTCTGAAGAGAGCTGTTTATTAAGAAGGACATCCTGTAAAAGTAGTAGTGAAATTCATCTGAATAGGTGCACAGATCTCAACACAGAAACACAAAAAAGATATGAAAAAAAAGGTAATATGACACTTCCTATGGTTTACAGCTCTCTAATAATAGTTCGTAGATAACTCAATGATATCCAACAYAGATAAAAAGTTAAATAATTTTTTAGATTTATTTTATTTTTTTAATACATGACAGCAGAAGGAAGATAAATAAAAGTCGATAAATAAAAAAATTGGTCAAAAAGAGATTCTAAAAAAAGCTAATCACAATCTTGGAAATGAAGTCCTGGTTAAAAGAAAAAATTTACTTGAAAACCTCAACAACAGATTAGATTAAGTGGAGAAAGAATATCAGAACTTGAAGATAGACCTTTTAAAATATTGCATTAAGACACAAAGAATTAAAAAAATGAAGAAAGCATTCAAGATCTGTAGGAAACCACTAAAAGATGAAATATCTAATTATCAGCATAACTGAAAAGGAAGAAATAAAGTTTAAGGGTATAGAAAATCTGTTCATGATGTAATAGCAGAATGGTATAATAGCAGAAAATCTCTTATATCATGAGAAAGACACAGATACCTGGTAGAGGAGGTCTTTAGTATCCAAAATAAACATGACCAGAAAAGAACCTCATTATAACATACTGAAGTCAAACTTTCAAAATTACAGAAAAAAGAATTCTAAAATCTGCAAGAGAAAAGTGCCAAGTCACATTTAAAGACAAACCCATAATTACATTAAGGAACAAAATTTTCATTGAATTTGATTCATGTTCTTTGGTCTGGTCTTTTAAGATTATGCCCGAGAAAATAACCTGCTGTTTTCTAACAATGGTCAAAAAATAATCCCAAGATATTTTCGTGCGGCTAACACTTGAATAAGTCACTAGAAAATATTGTATGAACACTAGTTTGAATCATCCCTTAATGAATATTGACCCAAGAGGCTTCAAATAGGTACAATTGTATCTAAAGAAAGAAGCAGGAAAGCGACAAAGAAGATAATAAGGCTACATCAAGGTCTGAGATAAATTTCAGATTGTTCAAAGATAGTACCTTTCATATTAGCTATAACATGATGCTGTTTAAAGAAACAAAAGAAACTACACATTCATTTAAGATGTCTTACCATGAGATTCAAGTCCAGCTCCCTGTGCCAGCCCATTGTCATAGGACTGAAAAAGAAAAATATTATTTAGTTTAATAGGAAAAAATATGGAATAATAAATGACTAAAAGTTGCCATTGTGGGTTTTGTTTTAAAAATCTTTTATCCTCGCTTTTCCYTTATAACTTTCAAAATTTGCACTTTTCTCCACAGAGAAGTAGAAGTAGGCAWTTTCCAAGTAACTGATCTTTTATTCACTAAGTCAAATCACTAAATGCATATAATTCTGAGACTAGATTGTTCAAAGATAGTACTTACATATTCAGTTTTTAATCTAATAAAGCTCAAACCCCTCCTTCTCTCCCATTTGCAACTACATAAGAGTTGAATGAAAATAGAAACAAATCTGTTGGGACAGTTTGGACTTGCTGAAGGGTAAGAACTACCTAAATTTCAATCTCCCCACATTGTTAAAAAATCAAAACAGAATAAGAATAAAATTACAAAACTTAAACCTTAGCAAAGCAACAAGAAATTCTTAAGCTACAGATTACCAATTGTCTATAGAAAAAGAAATATCAAATTTCAGCAACCCACCTGTCAAATCCCTGATATACTTTTTAAAAAAATTTATTTATTTTTTGATTTTTAAAAAAATGACAGCAAAATGCATTAAAATTCATATTACACATATAGAGCATAATTTTTCATATTTCTGGTTGTATGTTCACACCAATTTGTGTCTTCATACATGTACTTTGGATAATGATGTCCATCACATTCCACCATAATTGCTAACCCCCTGCCCCACCCTTCCCTTCCTACCCCTCTGCCCTATTTAGAGTTTGTCTATTCTTCCCATGCTCCTCCTCCCTACCCCACTATAAATCAGTCACCTTATATCAGAGAAACATTCATTATTTTTTTTTTGATTGGCTAATTCCACTTAGTATTATCTTCTCTAACTCCATCCATTTACCTCCAAATGCCATGATTTTATTCTCTTTTATTGCTGAGTAATATTCCATTGTGTATATGTGCCACATTTTTAATCCATTCATCTACTGAAGGGCATTTAGTTTGTTTCCACAGTTTAGCTACTACAAATTGTGCTGTTATAAACACTGATGTGCCTATGTCCCTGTAGTATGCTGCTTTTAAGTCCTTTGGGTATAGACAGAGGAGAGGGATAGTTGGGTCAAATGGTGGTTCCATTCCCAGTTTTCCAAGAAATCTCCATACTGCTTTCCATATTGGCTGCACCAATTTGCAGTCCCACCAGCAATGTATGAGTGTATCTTTTTCCCCACATTCTCACCAACACTTATTATCGTTTGTTTTCATAATAGCTGCCATTCTGATAGGAGTGAGATGAAATCTTAGAGTAGTTTTGATTTGCATTTCTCTAATTGCTAGAGAATGATGAACATTTTTTATATATTTGTTGACTGATTGTATGCCCTCTTCTGAGAAGTGTCTGTGCAGGTCTGTGGCCCATTTATTGATTGGGTTATTTGGGGTTTTTTGATGTTTACCTTTTGAGTTCTTTATATACCCTAGAGATTGGTGCTGTATCTGATGTGTGAGGGGTAAAAATTTGCTCTCAAAATGTAGGCTCTCTATTCACCTCACAGATTTTTCTTTTGCTGAGAAGAAACTTTTTAGTTTGAATCCATCCCATTTATTGATTCTTGCTTTTAATTCTTGCACTGTACCTTTTACAAAGCAAGAGTGATTTGTGAAAAATCACAAGAAAAAATAAGGGGGGGAGGGTGGAGGGGGATTATGATAGGCCTGAAATTCGCCTAAAAAAAAAAAAAAAAACACTGCCTAAAAAAGAAGGTTCACCTAATACCAAAAACACAATAATTCTTGCTTTGCATAGTTCCAATATGTACAAATTCCAATTACCATACCTTTAAAACTAAAAATAATTCAACTTCAATAAGTGTATTTACTATAACTGCATAAATTATAAATTTTTTAGTCCACATGTCATTACATAAATAACAGATATATATCATAACCAGTGGCAAATTACATCCTCCTCTTCGAAGTCTGTTAGTAATTGGTCATTGCATACTGTTCAGTTCACATAGTGAGCATATGGCTGTACTGATTTTTGTCCTTCGATGACAAACTCACATGCTGTTTTACAAAAATGCATAATGAGAAGAAAGGATTACCCACAAAAAAGATGAAAAGTACAGCAAAGAAATAAAAAGCAATAACATTGTAAATAAACATGAAATCAAATAGTTACAGAAGAAATAGTTGTCACTCAAAATTTGAAAATGCTACTGCTTGAGAGGTTCTAGATATGCAATCACAAGAAACAAGTGAAAGTGAAATATCAACATGAGTAAGGAAAGGGGTTGAGATGAAAAGGATAAAGATGTTCTAGAGAATTGCTGCTGGAAAAAATGCAACAATCTCAGAGATATTTCACAACACCGAAAACACAATGAACATACTTAAAACTGTCTGAAACGTGGAAGGGAGTATGACTGTTGGCCTAGACAAATTAAAAATTGCTCACTTCTTATAATTACTTATGTAATGAGAAGGCAAAGTGTTGTTCAAAGAGAACACTTTAATTCTCATATTTCTAATGTTTTAAAATTACAGTGTACTAAATATTAATTTTATTATTAAAAATTCTGCATACATTTGTTCCTGACAGTAAGATTTTCATGTTTTGGCAAAAAATTTTAAAGGTCATAGAACAATTACCATTTTCTCTACTGATGAGTAAAATCACTTTGCATAATTTCAGCTTGCATGGTTATCATTATGGTTTGGTACTTCTATGCAAATCACGGACAGCCTAATCTGAAAGAGGTCTGGTAAAATGAAGCACTGAATATAGCGAAGGGATTTAAAATGGTTCACAGTCAAGGTGGCAGTTCTCAAAGGGCATGATTTTTGGTGAAGAAAGTCAAAAAGGAAGAGAGGCGCTCTGAAGATCAGGTAATAAGGAAAACTCAAAAGAACCCGAGAAACAAGAGAGAACCTCTTTTCTGCCAGAAAGAGCACAAAACACACAACCCTTTCCCTGCTACTAAAATGAGTCATCCACTTCAGAAATCATACTTAGTTGCATTAAAAAAGTATGTAGCCTTAAAGTAGAAATTCTTTTAAGAAAAATAATCCATGAAATTACTAAACATAAAAGAACATACATAAAACTGAAATCCCTCACTTTTTTTTTTCTTTTCCAAAAAATGAGAACAATGGGGAAAAAGAAACACCCAAAACCAGGCCTTCGGCCTTATTTTGTATAGATCTTAAAAAAATGGTCCATTTCACTCATAATAAAAGAAATGCAAATTAAAAATACACTGACATCATTTTCAACCACCAGGATACAAAGATAAAAATACATTCTATTGGCAAGGCTGTATGAAAACAGGCATTTGTCTACATTGGTAGGAATACAAACTGGTCCATCTGCTTTGGAGAGAAAATGAGATATATCTAATAAAATTACACATATATTTGTTTAGCTTTTGTTTTTGTTTTTGATACCAGGGATTGAATGCAAAGATGTGTAACCAGTGAGCCACATCCTCAGCCCTGTTTTATTTTTTATTTTGAGACAGGGTCTTGCTAAATTGCTGAGGATGGCTTTGGACCTGTGATCCTCCTGCCTCAGCCTCCAAAGCTGCTGGGATTATAGGCATGTGCTACTGCACCCAGTTTGTATTTAGCTTTTGATCAAGCAATTCCACAATCACAAATTGATCCTGAAAAATACACCCCTAACAAAATACATAAACATACAAGCATAAAGTTATTAATTATAGCACTGTTCAGTGTTCTATATGTAGATTGTTTAAACAAACTATGACATATTTACCCACTGGAGTAATATAAAATTGTTAAGAATGAGGAAAATCTTGATGAACTGACAAATGATTTTTAAGGTGTACTGTTCAGTCTACAAAAAATAAACTACCAAAACAAACTATAGTATACTATACTTCCAGTTTAAAAAAAAAAAAGAAAAAAGAAAATATACACGTCTTTTCATCAAAGGCAGAGAGAGAAAAGAAAATCCAAATATTAATGAGAATGGTTACCTATAGTAAATGGGAATAAGATGTTAAATCTGGGGGTTAAGAAGGGTTTGGAAGATGGAAATAATGAGTCAAACTTCTATGACTGCACCTTTTTTGCTGTGACATTCAGAACCAAATTAATGCTTCATGTTAATAAACAAAAACCAACAAATTGGAGGGCAGGGTGCAGAATGGGAGGAATCCAAACAGAAACAAACTTAACTGTTATTAGATTAGAATCTGAAGTATTTATATGAACTTGTGATTTTTAATAAACTGAAAAAAAGCACAGAATGTGTATACAGAGGGTATCTACATATGCTTAACTAAATGAATTCATGTCTGAACTCTGCATGGTGAGAGAGGGCTTAAAAGCAACGATATCACAATACTAATGAGCATACTTGGTATCCATATCCCTAAATATCACCCCTCAATACAAACCAGGGGTCCATGAAGAAATTACTGATTTCAGGGCTAAGACTGGGAAAGTAAACTTGGAATAACTGTGTCAGAAAGCAAAAGGTCCTTGAAGAATGAGGAAACATGTCAAAAGGGCATCGAAAATGAGTCAGCCTGAAAGGTTCTCATTAGTCAAATCTAAGACAATCCGAGCATTAAAGTAAATAATGGTAGTAGCAATTATATTTCACTAAATAAGAATCTAGAGTCCATGAAGTACCAAGAAATCAATCTTACTGCCCTTATTTCCAAATTCTTGATGGAAGAGATGAGGCATACATTATTACAGAAGTTCTCATATACTACCAATAATAATCTAGTCAGTGTCATCAACATAACTCACCATACTTCTTCTAATATAGGTGATGGCCTTTTTCATCGCCTGACCAGTTATTCAGCATATAGCAAATACAGGAAGCACAATACACAAATCGCATGTCATTTTCACTGCCTTCTTGAAGTAGTAAATAAACAAAGGCAGTGAGGAGATTTTTCCCAAGAGAATTTCAATTACTATTTACAGAATAAATACTAGGGCTAGAAAACCATTAATGCATACTAACAACATTAATGGATAAAATACTAACTACAAAGAGAAAAATGTTAACTTTACAGAGAAACCAAGTGGGAAGAAATAAGGCAAATTAACATGGCTTACCTCCGAACACAATGCACTGCAAAGACAGTATTATTTCTGTACCATTCATGCCCAAAATGCATATACCTAACCTCCTAATATAAATCTCTCTTCCTTTTAAAAAAATTCCTTTAAGGATCTTTTCTTTCTGTATCCATACCTTTTAAAATTTTGTGCTATAGTAGATCCTATAAAATCTGAGCCACAGTTACATATTCAGTTAAAACCAATTCCATTCCTCTAAGAACTTAAATTTTCATTACAAAATACTAAAATGCCAACTAAAAGTTAAATTAACGGCCTTGAAAATTCTAATTTACAAAATTTAAAATCTTCATATTTGGGAAGCAAATATGGAAACCTGGAAAGCAGCACTTCTACTTCCTTCAGGTTTGTTTCTTCTCTTTTTAATTTTAATTTAATTTAAATAAATCAACAATATATTAAAAAATTCACTATTTCATTCAGACTTCAATTTTATATTTGAGATGGAATAGAACAAAGAATAATTATGGCTGAGACTAAGCATTCCTTATTATCACCAATAAAAAAAGATTAAATTACACTGTGTGAAAGAACAGCATTTTTATTTTGGTATCAGCCTTAAAATAAACCTTGTGTTACACACACACACACATTAAATTTTAATGGTCAAGGAGTCGATCTGCTCTTTAAGACTATTTCTATATAGTGTTCTGATATAAGAAGTACCAAGAAATCAATCTTACTGCCCTTATTTCCAAATTCTTGATGGAAGAGATGAGGCATACATTATTACGGAAGTTCTCATACACTACCAACAATAATCTAGTCAGTGTCATCAACATAACTCACCATACTTCTTCTAATGTAGGTGATGGCCTTTTTCATATCCATGCCTGACCAGTTATTCAGCATATAGCAAATACAGGAAGCACAATACACAAATCGCATGTCATTTTCACTGCCTTCAGGTACAGCACAAAAACTGAAAATAAAACCGGTAAAATGATATTCTATTAATGTTGGACTATAATTTTTTTTTTTTTTTTTTGGCAAGGGAGTTAGAAACACCTACTCTTGTGTCTTACAGAAATATCTATCACTCATTCAGAAACCATGTTTTACATGTATTACATAACAGGATTATTAACCTGAATAAAATAAAATGATCTCTAAAATCAACATTCTACTCAAAGTTCTGGTTCCTGGGTAGTATTATACACTACCATATTACCTTTTTCCCAGATGCCACCATTCAGAATAAGCTTATTTACTCCAATAGGAGGCAAGCTGCAATACACTATTTTGAGAATTAATGGCAAAAAAAAGTAGAAGGGAAAACCTGAGTCCTATTTCCAAGCCCATATTTTGCTTTGGGAAATTTCTTCTAAATGTATATACAGATAATTATTAACTGATTGATCATATTGTTTTAACTGTTACACAGCTAGTTTCTGACATGTAATAATATGTGTTATAAACAAAGCTAAGGTATCAGTAATTGAGTTCTATAGTGAAATATTAATCATACATTCTGGCTGAAGTATTGTAGTATTTCCAACAAATTTCACTTTATTCTATAGGTCTACATTAATTTTTTCCTTCATAAGGAGCACTGTTTTAAAAAATACTGACAGGAAAAGAAATATCAGTAGATGAGCATAAAGATGTAACAATACATCAGGATTTGTTTGCAAAGTCTTCCTTAAACTGCCATCACTTTGTCACTTTTGCAGACTTAAAAACTGTTTTGATTTAAAACTCTTAGAAAATTCTTTAGATACACTATATAACCTACCAAATAATAGTACACTATTTTTTCTAGCCTTTGAAAATATCATGTTCATCCATTTCTCCTATATCAATATTTTTAAGAAATATTCAGATAAATGTATACTTGCCTCCAAATATCAATTTTTCCCTTTAACAGGTAAATTAATTAAAAATAAAGAGATAAAAGAGTTATGCTATTATAAAATTACTTTTATTTTCATTCACAAAAAAAATTCCTGGATTACTTTTTTGATTAAGCACTTAACAATGTATTCAATAAATTTTAAGTAGTTCTAAGAATAGTACACGATCCTCTAAAGGTCTAGTTAGTATTATGTCTTTTTGAATTTCAAAACAAAAAAAAAACAAGACATGACTCATACCTTCCATCTTCCAGCTGAAGGGCTCTCAAGCCTGCTAAGCAAGCTTCTTTATTTACTCTGCTTAAGTCATCTCCAAGAATAACTAAACATGAAAGGCCAGTGTAGGTCATTGCTATGTGGCCACTATCATAAGGATGAGCTGTTCCAGGATTCTAAATTAAAAATATATTAATTAATAAATTGAAATTAAAATTTATTTAATTAATTAGTTTGACATGAGGTGTTAATAAACAGTAAAATTGAATGTTATATATACCAATTTGTATACACAACTGAGAAAAATAAACTTCCATTAATCTTCCCCCTCCAGTACTGGGGATTGAACCTAGGGACACTCTACCACTGACCTATATCCCCAACCCATTTTGTTTTTTATTTTGAGGCAGGGTCAAAACTAGATCCTAACTACATTGCCAAGGCTGACCTTAAATTTGTAATCCTTCTGTCCAGGACCTCTGAGTCACTAGAATTACAGGTGTGTGCCACTGTGCCCAGCAAACCTCCATTTTTATATAAGTCTCAGTATAAATATGATCACATACATTTCAGGCAACACAATATTTAAATTTATCTCAGACCCCTCAAAAGCTTTATGGAAGTAATTATGATTCTGAATAACCCAAATTATTTGAACTTCATATTTAATCAATTTTATTACTTATAATTTAAGTCTTTATGGGAAGGGGATTGAACCCGGGCCTCCCACATGCCAGGCAAGAGCCTACCACTGAGCTACAACAACAACCCTTTTTATTTCATCTTGAGACAAGATCTTGCTAAGTTGCACCAGCTGGCCTCAAACCAATGATCCATACCAGGCTTGCACATAGTCTTTTAAACAGAAAAGATTTATAAAAGAAATAAAAATTTTAAATAACACAAATGTAAATTAAATACTAAAGTGTAATCATATATTTTTTTAAAAATACACCTGAAAAACTAAATCATTCTGTTCCTATATAAAGTTTAATTGTTTGAACCTCTACTAAAACACTAGCACTTTGGATAGCAAAAAACAAAGAAATGCAAATAGAAACTCAAAGTACTACAATTGAAAAACTGGAAATAGTGTTAACTTGAAGTATGTAGATATTTAGAGTTCAAATGGGTATTGCTTGCAAAGAGCATTTTATGAAGCCTACGTTCTTACACAAGGACAATTATTAGACTAATAATTGGACAAAGATAAGAAATAAGACTTAAGAGACTCATTACCACAATATGGTGAAATTAATTTGACCTGATTGAACTGTTTCAATAAAAGTAACTATGAACAGTTAACAAATACAAAATGCGTGACTCATATTATAAGAAATCCTATAAAGACCTTGAGACTTGGCATTGTGATAGATAAAATCTGAATTAAAAAACAGTTATATTGCCACGTGCAGTATGCCTATAATCCTAGCAACTTGGGAGGCTGAGACAGGAGGATTTCAAATTCAAAGCCATCCTCAGGAACAGCAAAGCACTCGGTGAGACCGAGTTGCTAAATACAAAACAGGGCTGGGGATGTGGCTCAGTGGTTGAGTGCCCCTGAGTTCAATCCCTGGTATACCCCAACCCCCAAAAGTTAAGTCAAATAATTCTATATGCCACAATACACATACAGTTTTATAATTAATTTCAAATATTCAGCTGATCCTACTAATTGGTTATTTTAAAAAGAACACTTCACTTGAAAAATGTAAAGTTTCCCATTGATTTCTCAATTTAAGAAAGTTTTCCTTTGAGTCTGGGTGGAGGGTGGTGGTATAAATCATTTATAGAGAGCTTGCCTTTCAAGTTTCAGACTCTGGGCTTGATCCCCAGGACCCAAAAAAAGCAGGAGATGAGGAAAAAAGGTTTATGTTTTGGTAGAATGAAAGTATATTCTTAATTCACTTTCCCATAGTCTCCTTTTTGTTTGTTAGTACTGCTTCAAATACTAGAAAATTAACACCATGACTTAATTAGATGACTTTCTTGTATAACAACTTTCTATGGTTTCCACACAGAATAAGTCGGTATAGTGTTTAATAAACTTTAAATCCAAGCAGTCACAAATTACTCACAATAATAAGAGAGGCTTTTTTTTTTTTTTTTTAAAAAAGACATTTCTGTGTTTATGTAATTCTTACAGGAAGGGGAATACTGTTTTCCTTTAAGAGGTTTCAGTTTATAATATACATTATTAAATAGCATTTAGCCTGATTAAAACCTGGAAGCCTGGTTCTTTCTGAATAATTTCTTAGTCTTCTTTCTCACTAAAATCTTCCTACATCCCTTCTCCTATCTTCTGACCCAAAGAGAACTAACCTTTGATGGATTGAACGGAATACCCAGGTATGAAGAGCCTCGGAAACCACAGCGATTTAGATTTGATCCTAGAAAATAAAACATATTTTAAATACACTTTATTTTGGTAGAATCTAAAGCAGTTTAATTATACAATCTTTTAGTAAAAGACTGTTTTAATACCAATCTTTGTCACTGTCTCCATTTTCATGCTAGCTAACATTAAATGTTTACCATATGCCTTGTCCCTTCTAGGTGCTTTATGGGAATGCATTGAGGACATTCTATTAAATACCACTTAGAGACAAAATAGTGATTTCCTTGTATGTACCATTTATGTATAGCCTATCTCACTGCATACAAAATACTTTCATACTTCTGTATGACCATTTTTCATTTTCTCAACATATTCAATCCCACTATATATAGAAAAAGAAAACAGAAGACCAAAGGTTAAGACATATTCAAGATCAACACAACAGGTCTAGAATCCTAACTTCGTACTCGGTGTCTTTTACTTTTTCTATGTTGAATTGCCTTTTTTTTTGCAGGCAGGACTGGGAATTGAGTTCAGGGGCATTTTACCACTGAGCAATAGCCCCAGTCCTTTTTTTATTTTGAGACAGGACCTCACTAAGTTGCTCAGGGCCTCAGTAAGTTGCTGAGGCTAGCCTCAAATTGTGATCCACTTGTAATGAGCCACTACATCCAGCTCAGTGTCTTTTACTTTAACTGCTTATTTACATAAGAGTAAGCTAAAGGTACAAACTGCTTTAGAGCCACAGAGGAAAAATATGTACTATGTATTTTAGTATTAGGCCACTGTTCTAAGTTATGGCTTTGAAGCATATAAAATACTATAAGTTAACACTTAAGTCTCTACTCATTCAAGGTATAGTTATTTACAATTTTTTTCCTGACTAAACATTTTTATTTTTCAAGATATCAATGGAATATAAGTTGGGAATTTAACAAAACAATTGCATCCATAATAATTATGGTTTTGACAGCTATTAGAAAATAATTCTGACAAAATGTATCAGCAGATAATTAAGAACTAATAATAAAAAAACAAACTGATTTTAAAATAAGCTCTGATGCGAGAAACTGCTTTCATATCTCTTATAACTAGTACCTGACTAATTCAGAATAACTGTTTTTCATTCTACTGCTTCTTCAAATCAGGTACTGTACTTGATCCAGCTTTCTAGTCACTTATAAATTCTTTGGACAAATTAGGAACCACTAAATTTAAAACTCTACATCAACTATCTTCCCCATTAGTCTTTTTATTTATATAAGATATTTATAGTGATAATGACTTTAGTAAACATGGTTCTCTTATTTTGCTGATGACTTAAACTGGTAAGCCATAAGACTTGCCAGTGTGTAACTAAGTCTTAAAAAACAACTATACACTCTGACCAAGTCATGATTTATATCTGAGAACCTACTTCAAATATAAGATCATAAGCAAAGAAATGCTTGCTGTAGTGTAATAATGGTGATAATCTAAAAATGACATAAAAGTCCAACATATCAAGTCTATCATGCTGTTATCTACTAAAAGGAACATTATGTTCCTATTAAAAACAATTATTAATAAAACTATACAGCAACATGGAGAAATGTCTATGATCAAAGTAAGAGAAAAAGCAGGATACAAAACTGTCTGCATTATTATTTTTATAATGTAGCAAATGATAAATTTTTCAACAAAGCCTGGAAGGGAATAAACAACACAATTTAACTGCATAGGATGATATGAACAAGGGTGTATTTTGTCCTCTGTATTATTCACTGTTTCCATAATCAGCGCAAACTCAGCAACTGTAGGCACTTACTATCTCACAGTTCTGGAAGGGTAGAAGTCCAACATAGGTTTCACCAGGTTAAAATCAAAGTGTTGGCAGGGCTAAATTACTTACTGGAGGCTCTGTAGGAACAATCTGCCTTCAAGCTCATTCAGGTTGTTAGCAGAAGAAAGTTCCTAGCAGATGTGGAAGGTCTCTGGCTATGGGCTAGGGACCCCCTGTAGTGCCTAGAGACCCTCTTCCCATTTCTTGCAAATGAGTCCTTACCAGAGTCAGCAATAAAACTCAAATCCTTTCCATGGTTAGACTTTCTCTTCTCCCTTTCACTACATTTTCTATGACTGACTCCTCAGGTGCTCATGGGATTATACTGAGCCTATCTGTATATATTCATCATCCATGAATAATCTGACATTTCAAGGTCAGCTAATTAGTATTACCTTAATTCCCATCTGCGAAGTTCCTTCACAGCAGTTCCTAGATTAGTGTTTGACTGAATAACCGGGGAAAAAGAATCCTGTGGGGTTGGTATCTTTAGAATGTAGTCTAACACAGCTCCCAGGTTGAGTCCCTTTATACTTCTGTTTTAATCACTCTCAAGTTGAATGAGGGGCAGTGTCAAAAAGTGTATTTTCCTATACGATATAAAATCAGTCCCCCTACCCCATGCCACTTAGGATTGCCTTTCTAAAGATTCTTCTTTCAAGCTACCAACCTGTTCAAACTTCTCCATAAAAATCTGATCCCATTTCTACTTTTGATGGAAGAAATCTCTAATTCCATCTTTTGGGTATGAGTTTATGCTCTCATTAGCAAGCTTATATTGATTTCCCTTCTGATTTTGACAATTCTGCAAGGTACTTTAGAAGCAGACATACAATAAGAGTTCAATAAAATATTTCTGAGTAAAATATCACTTCTTTAGATGTAAATAAATAATGGCATTTGCTTGCTCATTTCTGAATTAGAGCTTGCTTACACTAATAACATTTGTGAAAAGCAGAAATGGTAATGCTCAAAATGCCATCATAAGGGTAAGAGACTATGGTGTGGACCCTTGGAATCAAACTCAGAATCTTGTTTTTCCTAGCACTATGTTCTATAGGCATGTAGAACAACCTCTTTGAGTTAGTTTCTTCCATTTTGAGCTAGGAACATTGCAAATATAACTCTTGCAAGGTTCTTGGAAGGGTTAAAAGAACATGCTTAGATTGTACTTCAGCAGTGACCAAGGCTTAATAAACAGCAACCATTTAATATCAATTATATTTTATCAAAACTAAAACAGGAAGAATTAACAGCTTGTGTGTGTGTGTGTGTGTGTGTGTGTGTGTGTGTGTGTGTGCGCGCGCGCGAGAGTGCCAGGGATTGAACTCAGGGACACTCGACCACTGAGTCACATCCCCAGCCCTATTTTGTAATTTATTTAGAGACAGGGTCTCACTGAGTTGCTTAGTGCCTCACTTTGCTGAGGCTGGCTTTGAACTCCCAATCCTCCGGTCTCAGCCTTCTGAGCCAGTGGGAATTAACATCTTTTATCACAATTTATCAAGGAAAATATCTTGAAAGTAAAAATGCCTTTTCTTTTCAAAAAACGAGAGTACACACTAACACTATGAAAAAAGTATTTATAATCTTAAGCACCAGTCATGGTATATGGGAAAAATGTATATTTCTTGCCTTCTTCTAAACTGTCTTTGGACTACAATGCTAGAAAAATGAAATTGTTTATTTCAGTATAAATAACAGCAACAAAAAGAGATCTTAACACTTAGGGAATTTGACTAAATACCTAAGAACCCATGAAAAATATTGATTACTCCTAATTAATTCTAATTAAATATTTTTGTAATGGTGCTCATTAAGAGGTCACATTAATTATAATATATATATATGTTGTTGATAGACCTTTATTTTATTTATTTATATGTGGTGCTGAGAATTGAACCTAGTGCCTCACACATGCCAGGCAAGTGCACTACCACTGAGCCCCAGTCCCAGCCCAAGAGGTAACATTTTTGCTACTTCAATATCATTAGGCACTCCTGATTCCTGTCAATCTCTGTTGGCTACTGGGCTAGCAATAATTCTAGTAATCTTACCTTTTCATGATATTGAGTAAGGTATAAAAGCAATTCATTCTAATTTTTAAATGAATGCATACTTCAGATTAAGTTTAAACTTCTTTGGAGGTTATTAATAGCACCATCTAGTGTTCCTACTCAACAGCAGCAAAACAAAGATCTTTTCTGTTGGATTTATTTCCCCACCAGAATCAATGATAGACTTTGAAAAAAAAAATAGATTTTTGGGTTCTATTTACGAATGTGGGGCCTGGAGAATCATATTTTAAGAAACAATCAATAACCACTGATTTAATGAATGCATTCTCTACTTTCCAGTCTTTATTAACTAGTTCATGCAACATGGAAGTTGTTCTCGTGGCATCCATCATTAAGTGACTTGCCAGACACTTGTAATATACAGTGGCATATACCTGTAATCCCAGTGGCTCCAGAAGCTGAGGCAGGAGGATCATAAATTCAAAGCCAGCCTCAGCAACTTACTGAGGTCCTAAGCAACTTAGGGAGACCTCATCTCGAAAATAAATAAATAAATAAAAAGGGTTGAGGATGTGGCTCGGTGATTAAGTGTCCCGGGTTCAATCCCTGGTGCAATAAATAAAATAAAATAAAATAATCCAAGTGATTTAAGAAAAGAGAAAATTGAGTAAATGGAAGAAGCAACAAAATTGAGAATTAATGCATGGATGCACATGAGTATGTGTGCTTCTGTGTAAATAAGTAGAGGGGTGTATTATTGAAGAATAAGATTTTAGCTATCAAGTCTGCACATGAAGGACAATTATTAAGCCGACTCCTGCTTGATGTCATATCTCACTTTAAAACTTAAGAGTTTTAAATGATAACCTCCACTGTATATCATGCATTATAAGGTAGTACATGTAGATATTCTTAAAAAAAAGAAAATGGTTATACACTTATAGAATAAGAATTTAATGAGAGTTAAACAAGATTTATTTCAATCAAAGGAGTTACTTTTCTTAAGAAGTAGTGTATTTACCCTCTCACAACTGTTCTATGAAAGATAAAATAATCACTTATATGGACTTCGGAAACAAGCAGGAGTGTCCATACTCATATCAAATAAAATAGATTTCAAGCCAAAGTTAATCAAAAGGGATAAAGAGGGACACTACATACTGCTCAAGACATAACAATCATAAATATATATGCCCCA